TTCTAATAATTGTTTTTTCTTATTCTAAATTCAGGAGGAGCATGATTAGTCATGTGCCACACAAGAGCTCGGATATGGCATTGCTCCATTTCATATGATGCCTGTGCTGTTTCTCTTTTTTCTTTTACTTTTTGGAACAGGAGAGGAAAGGTCGTGCTTTGTTAATGGAATAGCATTCTTCTAATGTTTCAAAAGTGCTTGAAAGCCTGATCCTCTAAACCTCCTTATGGGAAGGAGAAATACTGTTGCTTTGGATTAGGTTTATTTAAACCACTGGAGAACAGACTTGCATCCCTTTTCATTCTTTCAAGAGAAGCTTTGCTTTGTTTCCTTGCTCTCCTGCTTTCCACAACAAACTGCCGATTTTTAATTCAGAACCTTCCTTCAGACGAGGAACGAACAGAATTAGTTCTTTTTTCTCACTACTGGTGCCAGCAAAATGAAAAAAAAAAAAAAGCAAACAGGACAGCAGGTGGCAGGTTGGCACCATTGGTGAGTGCCACATATTGGAAACAAACGTCTGAAAACCTGAATTTGTCCCGATATAGATGAAATGAGAGATCACATCCTTCTCTGGTTATCCTCTGGAAACACAAAGCCCCTCCAAATGCAAGGGATTTTTACCTCATTCTTGCATGTCACCTTTCCTGCTAAAATTTCTAAGTGTTTTGGCTTCAGTTTTCTTTATTTTGGTGACTTCCGGTTTTTGCCTCCTTTCCTGAGAACTGCTATTGCTTTGTCTTCCCCATTCATATTCTTTTTTCTTTCTTTTTTGCTGCATGGAGACTCTCTGCTGTACAAGTGTAAGTATTTTTTTAGCTCTGCTGTTTCTGGCCTACTTGTTTACGTTTTTGTGCTCCATTTGCCTCTGTAGTGCCTCGTGAGTCTCCTGGGAGACTGTAGTGCCATCCATCTGCACCTACAAATGAAATAGGCAGCGGGTCAGGGATGAGATTGGATTTTACAAAAAGGTTCAGCTAGTGTAGCATCTGAATTTAAAGCATCCCTTGGCTTTAAGACCAAACCAAAGCAGAGTGCTGATGTCGGAGGTGTAAGTATGAACGTTACTGCTCAGAAAGAAAATCTAATGATCTGGTTTTATATTCAAGTGCCATCCAGCTTAATGAGAGAATGGCTTAAACTGTGGCTTTCTTGCCACTAGGGTGGAAGAGGAGACAGGGGTTATCTCAGTTTGGTCCATTGTATTTTCTTTGTCTAGTTGAATCACCTCGAGGTTTTGACTGCTGTTCTCACCTTTTTGTGCTGTCGGCCTTAATGCGTTCTTGAAGCTGAAAAGCAAAATATGGTTGTTTTGCAGGAAGAAGGGTTGAAGGGGGGCTGATTGGGCAACTAAATTTCAAGAGGGTGGGAGAAGTTGTTCATTGACTTGTTTGAAATCTTTTGAAAGGGAAGTGACAGGAGGGTCACAGAGCATCCCTATATCTAATAGGATGGGATGTAAATTACTTCAGAGGAGCAGGAGGAGAAAAACATGGAAATTAGTATGTCCCTCAACACTGAGTGTAATTTCAATTGTCTGTATAATCGAGGAACATAGAGTATTTGAGACCCTTTTGCTAAAGGCATGTTTTTTTCTAGCACTCAAAACAAAGTGATTTTAGTTGTTGTTTTTAATTCCCGAGATACTAGTGTTATTCCACAGTTGGTAATACAATTTAAGAAAACTTAAGAGAGCTCAGATAGTTTTGTGAGGAAGAGAGTTAGAAGGGAAGAATCTGGAAAAGCGATCATGGGAAGCGATCCTGGGAGTTTAAAGTTAGCTTGGACAGATGACAATGTCTAACTGTAAGTAGGCCCTTGCTTGGGAGTGTGGTGGAGATTTGCTGGTTCCCATCTACTGCAGAACAGGTACCTTTGTGGAGCCATTTCCAGAGACCTCAGTGGTATAGGTGCACGCACACTTCCAAGCGGACCTCCCAAGACCCAGAGATGCAATTAATCTTTTTATCTGTTCTGCCAGGCAGCCTACAGTGTGCTCACGGAAAAGTGGGCAAAAAAGGAAGAAATTCAGGAAGTGGTCTGCTAGAATGGAAAGTTCCTGGAAGAGATGGAAGCAAGTGGAGGAGGGGAAGCTGATACTAACAGCTATTCCCTTGTGAAGGAAACGTAAGGCAGGAGAGCCACATTGTGCTTGCGTGGCCAGAGGCGGCGTGAAGGCAGAAGGTGCACCTCTACCAAACCTGAACTGCTTCCATGAGCTATGGAAAATGGGTCTCAGACTGGGGAGAGGCAGAGATCTGTCCCTAGGAGTTCAGATATCTCCTCTGGTAATGACATGTGCTCTGCTGCTGTAGCATACTGCACAGTGGCTGAGACATTAAGCTGAGATTAAGTCTAGCATTTTGTAAAAAGAGCACGCTGGCTTATTTAAATTAATGCTTTGACCTATTTTGCTCCGCGTGTGATCTAGAAAGTTCACTTGGCAAGAAGCCTTTCATCTGTGTGCTTCCTAAACAGGCTAGAAAACAGAAGGTTTTCAAATAAAAGTGTATGTATAGCTGTTATTCGTGCTGTTAAGGCAAATGGGAGACATCTCTATTCCTCTGCCTTTATCCTCAGCAACCAAGCTGCTGATGGATCGTGCCAAGCTGACACTAAGTTACACCAGTGATCCAGAGACTGGCTTATGGTCATCAGCACAAGCTCTGCAGGGTCATCTGAGGGCACTTTCTTGTCTGGGAAGGAAGATGAAATCATTCTGTTCCTGGCTGTTGGGATTGTCTTGGAGTGTTTGAGTCCCTGCACAGGAACCTCAAAACTTGCCCCGTGCTGTTTGCATTGGTGCCTTGGGCTGATCCAGCTCTCTGTTTGTCTGTGTTCCTCCAGGAGCACTCTGAACACTGGTCATGGCTGCGAAGTTACTGAGCAATCAGAGGTCTCCTATCAGCCTTGTTTTCTGTCCTCCTTTCTGATCTTCTTTAGTGCATGCGTTGCTGCAGTGTCCTCCTAGATGTAATTTCTAGTCACACCATCAGAAAAAGTGGCAAGCAGACCAAAATGCATACAAATATGCATTAACAAGAGAAATAGGCTTTGGCTGGAAATAAAACCAGGGGACTACTGATAGTGACTCCTAATTGCTGTCCCCCAAATGCTGAGCTGATTCAGCTCTTCCTTACGTGAGCTGCGGATGCCTTTGGTTGTTTCAGGTTTGGGTGATGGATAGGCAGCTGTCGAGGTGTGCCATTCAGAGGCTGCCCAGAAGCTTACTTGTTGCATAGTCCACTGCAATTTTGGCTGAAAAAATTCAGCACCTCTCCAGCCGCTTGCCATCAAATCCATTGCATTTAGTTTATTGGTAACTCTGAAAAGTAATGTCTGACTCTTTTGCTTGCTCCTTAGTTTCAGGGTAAGTCTGCTCAGGTGGCAAGCCATTTCCTGGCTGGTCTTGATACTATTGTGTCATTTACTGGTGCTTGTGAAATGTGGTAGTGAAAACTTGCAACAGCTGAAGGTATCTTTTTTTTTCTCAGCGATTGTGCGTGGCAATGAAAACAGCCTTGTTGCCCAAGGCAGTGCTGTCACTGCCCGCTCTCTGTTCTGCAAATTATTCTCTGTTCTTGAGAAGATAGGTAATAACTTTCCTGTTACAAAAATTTGTCATAACCCTAAGCGTGTGAATGGTGGCATAATAATCCTCCTGACTTACTTTGGATAGAAGTATAAATTCAGTACTGAACTTTCTGAACATAAAAACTAGCAAATGTTTACTTTAAATAATTCATGATTTGTCTGAAACGTCAATGCCAGCTGTATCTTTTCTGACTCACATAAATTGATACTACTAAACTCGATTAACAATTCTTTTAGTGAGTTGTAAGCCACAACAGCTTCCTGACTGACACTCCAGATCTGAAGCCACTAGGCTTCAAGACTAGCAACTAAATGGAAATACATGGATGTCACTAAAGGCAGCACGTAATACTCTACCACAAAAGGAGCCCATCTTTGCAGAAGCTGAGTCATTTTAAATTAACTCTTTAGAAAACCTGCAGGTCAGCTTTTTCTTTAAGTGTCTTATAATGCTGAGCTATGTTAAGAGGTTTGGAATTGGTGACGCATGCATTTCCTGTTCCAAACTGTCTTTCTTGTCATGCAAACTTTCAGAAGAGTTCAGGCAAGAAAATAAGGGCAACTTTCTTCCAAAAATAACAAACTCGGGTCTTAAGTCTGGATATTTGTGCTCTTAAGGCAACATACTCCTTTTTTTTTTTCTGGGAACATGAAGATGAGAATAATAATAGCACATAATTTTCAGTAACTACGTTGAATGTATGCCAAAGTAACTTTCCACCTATTCTCAGCATATCTAAAGTCCAGGAAAGTGATGTGTTTGCTGGAGATTTGTCAGTTCACTAACACAGACATGGTATTTTTGCTTTTTGAAGAAGGGTTGTGTGCTTCAAGACTGCGTTTTCCTAGGGAAGTTTGGTGAGCTGTGTGGTGGTGTCCAGAGGCATAGATACTTGAATTTTAATCATTCCCAGTAGCATGTTACTAACAAATGAATTGAGCAAGTGTATTTTGTATCAAAAATAAAAGTCAGAACAAGGGAGAAACTGTCCCTGATATTGTCATTAACTGTGCAGTACTGGATGCAGTAATTAAGTTTTCTGTGCTTTATGATCTCAATGTAGAGGTGAGGTTTTAATAGTTTGCTTGTTCTACAGTTAGGAATCAATGAGTTAATGCTTGGGCAATTCGAATAATGATTCTGTGTACAGCCGAAGGTTTTAATGGGAACAATAAACTACCTCCCTGGTACTGTTTAAAGTCAGTTGAACAAAATGTCAATTTAGAAAAAGTTCTGAAGGCTTGAGAAGGGAAGAAAAATACCCTATGCATTCCTGGTGTTAAACCCAATCAGATCTTGAAAAGATACATAGTCTTGAACTGATTTGTTGGATAGAAAGGAAAAGGTGTTCTTTGCCATTTCTTCTGTCTGCTAAAGTAATTTTTGTTTTGTTTTATGTTGATAGATGACTCCTAAATCAAAAAGGAAAAGCATCCACAGTAGAATGCTCCGGCCAGTGTCCAGAGCTTTTGGTAAGTGAGAATTTCTTAAAACCTTTTTGCTTCTTTGCTCGCCTGAGATTCTTCTAGGTAGCTCTTGATTGAAAAGCAGGTGACTCTCCCTCCCTCTGGATTGCATTTGAGGCCCACGCTGGTGGCTTTGTTTTGTGACTCTTCTAGTGTGTTTGGTAGTAAATAACTGCTCACAGTGCTCTGTCTGCTCACAAACATGTTGTGGCTGAATTCTCTAAATGTGTTTATAATTGTTTACCACAAAAGAGAGGGATAGCATTGTCTTTTGTTTTAAATAGCATGTGAAGTCTAATTAGAAAGTTTTGATTTCTCTTAGAAATGGAATTTGATCTAGATAAAGCACTGGAAGAAGTACCTATCCATATAGAAGACCCACCATTTCCTTCCAGCAGGCCGGACAAACGAACTTCTGGATTCATTTCAGAGCTACCATCAGAAGAAGGGAGAAAACTGGAACACTTTACAAAGTTAAGGCCCAAAAGGAATAAAAAGCAGCAGCCCAGCCAAGCAGCAGTGAGTCTACATTAAAATACTGCTGACGATGTCATCTGTTGATTGCTTTTTGCCATGAGTCAGGTCTTGCAATGTAATGAGGACAACTGTTAAAGTCTTAAGTAGTTGCTTATGGCTTTTAATTTTTCTTCTGGTATTCATGTCTTTCAGTGTGCAATCGTTATTGCAAGCTTTTTGTCTTGTTTGACACAGCCTAAAACCAGGCTATGTTTTATCGTTTTTTAATTTGCTTTTGTTTTTTCATGGAAGCAGTTTATGGAGGCACTTGGAGCTTTCACAGGAAATGCATAAAATATCATGAGACTTTTCAATTATATTGCAAGAGTATGTTGAGTCTTAATCCTTTTTTCTGCCTGCGTTAAGATGTGGTAACTTGGCATAAATTCTTATTTCTATCAGCTCTCAGAGGAGCTACTCTGTGACATCCAGCTTCCCACAGCTCCTTAACTAAAGATGGTGTTTGGGCCAGCAAATCTGCATAGTCACAGATCTGCTTTTCATGCTGGAGCCTGCCTTAGAAAAGCAAAACAGAAGAGCACTGTCTGTGTACGAAAGGCACTGGTGTGAACCCAAGTATATGTGTGTGGGGTTCCCACAGTTCCATTTCCTTGGCATACCACATCAATAAAGATTATTTCTGTGATGGTATGTCCTCGGGATATGTAAGGATAGATCTGGAGAAGTTAGAGTTATCTCATGCAACAGTGCAGCTGATATGATAAGTAACCTTTATCAAGGGGCAGCCATTGCTTGTTTAAATTATGCTGCCTAGTGTTGGATGTCTGTGGCCTCTTTTGCTCCCTGAGGATGGTTGGTGGAGAGGACCCTTGAAAACTTCCCTAATGCTGGGAAAGGTCATATCAGGCAGTAGAGTGCTTTTTGCACCACTTGGAAATGGAGAAACCTTCAAGCAGAGGGGATATTCAAGCCAACTTTACATTCTCTGGCACTTTACAGGGAAGGGCAGAGGTAGCAGAAAGATGAACTAGTCACCGTGTTGTAGTGAAAACACATCTGTGCTTCCTTCTTCCAGTTCCAATTCTGCATAACGCGTATGTTTTCCCAGTTGCTAAGCTTGCCTTTCTTCCAAACTTACTTGGAGCATCCTGTGCTATCTGCACAGGGGTGGGGAAGGAGTAAGGCATAGGAGGGCAAGTGCTCTGCTACTAGGCGTAGAACTAGGACATAAAATGTCTTGCTCCACAGAAGTAAAAAGCTTACTTCTTGCAGAGAAGTAGTATTACTTCCCATGATAGTGCAGTGTTGTAGGAATGCTCATCCACATCGAGTTAATTAGGAATTTAGGGGTTTATTTAGTTGCAGAAATAGAAAGGAACTTTTTAAAGCTTATTTGTCCCTGTCTTGTTTTTATGGACCATTGAAATCCTTGCTAGTTCTGACCTCATAACAAGTCTAAACAAATTTTTGAAAGACTTAAGATGTTTACTTTGATGCTTCCAAAATTTGAACAGCCAGATTTTGAAAGCCAGAGTCATGAGTGGACTGTGGCATTGCTTGAAGAATTGATTTGCTACTGGTTTTGCCACTTTGAGAATACAGAAAGCAGTGGTTAGGAAAAGCACTTGAAATGTGAGAGGCAAAATCTTGACCTTTTCTACTGTTTAAAGCGGGTCTGTTGAGTTGTTTGCTGTTCCCACTGTTTCCATTTAGTAATTTAAGGGGTCTCAGATGATCATAGCTGCACTTCTCTGGTTTTGCTGGAAAACAGATTTGTTCTTTGTTCTTTGTAAGCTGAAAAATGTAAGAAAAAAAGGGAAAAATGGAGAAAAAAAAAAGAAGAAATGTAAATTTTTAACTTGGGGTAAGGGGTGGGCAGAAGAAAGATTTGTAGTTTTGTCAGGCTTTTTACTGAAATGAGTGTTCGGGTGGAAAGGGGGGAAAAGAGAGTAATAAAAAGAAAACCTCAGCACCACCCACCCCCAAGGAGCTTTGAAGCAATATGATGAAACAGTTGTGTATCATTGAGAATTTGTGAGATCTCAACCTCATGAGTTCTTCCATCATGCATGAAGATTTAGTACAAAAAAGATGTGTTTCTCTAATGTATGCAAGAGATTGTGATTCATCTTATTTATTTGTGCTTTCAAGCCAGATTTTTTTCCTTAATTAAGAAACAAAAGGCTTACCTTTAAAGTTAGGGTTAAAAAAAAAAAGGGACAAATGAAAACTAACTACCTTGGTTTTGTTTTGTTTGGCTTTTTGGTTTTGGTTTGGGGTTTTTTTGAGCATAAAACGTGAAATAAACCAGAGATCAGTCTTTTACATTAACATTAAACACTAAAAGGCATTACAATAAACATCCATAATAATATCCTGTGCCTTGAGGATCATCTTAGGTCCTCAACATTTGTGTATGTCTTTAGTACATTTTTAGGAACTTGCTGCTTTTTCAGGTGCAAACTTATTTATTTTGTGAGGTCGATCTCCTCATATGCTGTAGATTATTGGATCCTTGCATTACTCCCCTTCAGGAGATGCACTTGCCTTTGATACTTACTTGTTTGTTCCTACTATTCGCAGGGCTCCAGTATCAATATTAAATGGTTTCTTGTTTCTTTTGAAATGCATCAGCCGCTTTTGGTTGACACATTTCAGTTGAAATGTCAGTGTCAACTGTTTTTTGACTGAGAAGGTAAATATTTTCATTGAGACAACCAGCACTTGTGTGACCAACCCAGATGTCAGTATATGCATTGCTGCCTAGTGTCAGGTGTTCCAGCTAAACAAGTTCTCTGCATAAACCCCCAAAGGTGGCAGAGTTGGAAGTCTGAGAAGTCATTGTGCTTCTTAGAATAAAACTGTTTTTTAGAGAAAATACGCAGTTTGACTGGCAATAAAGTAGACATTACCAGATGGGCTCTTTTCAGATCACTATTACATTGCTGCTGCAGGTATCAATAACATATTAACTATTATCTTTAATAACAAAGTAAACGCTAACCTTCAAACAAGGTTCAGCTATAGAAAGTAAAAAGTTTCATGGATGTGTCAAAGTATTAGTTCATATGCAATCCATTGTCCTGGCTTAATAAGGCTGGGTTTGATGTTAACATCAGCTTTTAAAAGTATTTATTTTTCTTTTTAGAGACTTAGAAAAGAGTGTGTATTCCAGCTGAAAAGGGAGGCTGGCATGACTCTGAGGTATCGCCAACTAGGAGATTCCTTGATTTAAATTGTTTCAAATTACAAACCCTACTATTTTCTGACAGACTGATTCCTAGTCATTAATAGTTCCAGGAATACAACTGAGTTGGGTCTTGTGGAGTCCTCTGTAGTCACCTAAAAGGTTTCCATGCGGCATTTAAATTGAAGGAAGTCTCTCTACTGGTAATAGAACTTTTCCGCATCAAAGCCATGTACAGGAGCTAGACCACATGAGAAATCCTCCCAGGAGATGACATGTTTCATCTTCAGGAGGCTGCAGAGTCACCAGCTAATCTTCACAGGGCCTTTGTGGTTGGCAGATATTACTAAATTAATGTGGTTCAGATGCCTCCAGTCACTCACCTTGAAAACGTGGGCACTGAAACCAAAGAAAGAGAGCAGGTTTTCCATTTTCAGACACTCAGTGAAAATTCACGTTCAGTTCTTGAAGTGAAACACCTGATTCTGTATTTGGAGTCCCTGCTTTTGAAAGTGCTGGATTGAATGAATTATGACAGACTCTCCCAGCCTGCTGGAGCTCTGTTTCTGAATCTCTAAGTCCAAATTCCAGAAGGAGTGTTTTTCTCTGAACAGAGAAGCAACTAGCTGTTGAAAGTAATTTCTCTTCACATCACCACCTAAAGGATTTATAAAGGATTTAATTTTTCCTTAACTTTTTTTTTTTTCCTTTTCTAACTGAACTAGTGCTCTATTCTCACAAGCCCAAGGCATTTGATTCCTGGCCTCACACATTGCAGTATACAATTTGTCGCTGGTATTTTGGGTTACTTTGTATTTGATGTAATGCACCAACTGACCTGACTAAAGGGGGAATTCCAGTGATGATTCCATTGCCTGCACTGAGGTTTGGTTGGCACATGCAATTTTTATGTCTCAATGCTTAAATATTGTCATTGAAACAAATATGCTTAAATTATTATATACCAGAGAGTTTTGTCTTCTGTCAGGTGTCTGCTGGAGTGCCTCCAGAAGGGGATCAGAATGGTCTCATGGGGAGAGTGGATGAAGGTGTGGATGAATTTTTCACTAAGAAAGTGACAAAAATGGATTCAAAGTAAGTTCAAATTTAATTTTCAAAAAATCCATCCTGATAGCTGGGCAAGTAGTATTTGACTTCTGTTTCCAATATCTAGGGTTGCTGTTGTCAAAGTTAGAAAATAACTTAGTAGTCAAGACGTTGTGAATTCAATTACCCTCCCTCAACAATGACTGCTTTGAAATAAATTGTTTTAATGTACCACATGGAGGGGATTATTGACTAGTGTGCATTTTTATAATTCAGTTGACTTCGTTTTGCTCTTCAGCAGAGCTCATTAGAGCTGAAGCAGAGCTGTGTATTGGTTGAGGCTCTCCTCTGCAGTGCTAGTCGTATACACAAGTGTCTCTGTCTAGTAAGGACTGCTGTTGGGCACAGTGTTTTGATAGGTGACAGTAGATATATGTTGTTTTAGGAATATGTTAAAGATTCTATTTGACTAATTTGTGGTGTTCCAGGTTTAAGCAATACATTCATCTGAAAGATATGTCTCCTTCAGCTTTGTATAAGGGTTATACAGCTTATACAACTGCTTTCTGGCTGGTTGTGTATTTACAAAACCCTATAACTAGATGTTCATGCATTCGTACATGGTCGTACACATATACACACAAATACTAACATAAATAAATGAGAAAGCTAGGGCAATCTCCAGACAACTTGGAATGACCCCTTCTGTGCTAGATGCGACATCCATTAAGGAAAATGGTAGATGTAAACTGGTAGATAGCTGTGGTAGGAAAAGCAAATGTTTTAAAATCACTGAGAGTTATAAATATCTATAGTGACATGTGAAGCCATGTGTGATATACTGTGTGTCATGGTAAAATTATGGTAGCTTTGAAAAATGGATTAGCCAGGTTAAGTTCAGGGTGCTTGCAGACTACTACATTCTCCTGTTCTTCCCTTGGGCACTTGCCAGCTGCTTGTTTTAGATGTCCCCATGAACTTACACTATGCCTGTGTGCCCGTCCTTGGCCATGTCTGTGGCTATGGTTCTTTGCTCAGTTTGCTGCACTGGTGGCTCTTTCTCCAGTTGGGGTGCTTGTATGCAAATGTGTTATGTGCCCAGCTTTCCTCTTAAGTGTGAATGTTCTGCTCGTAAGATGTCTGATAAAAATCTTACTGGCAGGTGGGTTGTTTGGGGTTTTTTTGAGGACGAGCACCTCCACTACAAAGGTGACGTCTCCATGTTCCTTACTGGAAAGGTGACTGTGCCAACTAGTTCCTGTTTCAAGCAGGGCTCTTAAGGGACAAGGTCTCCCAAAAGCTGTGTGAATCATGTGTCTGAATCAATTGTTCTCCTTTTACTAATGGGCAGACACAAACCAGAGGTGGTGCTCTCTGGAAACAGAGTGAAATTGTACGTGCATAGACAGCTTGGGCAGAGCTACACTGAGGTAACACCTTGCTGGTGTTGGAAACATCTGGGTCCCTAGTGCAGATGAAACAGCTACCTCTCTTCATTATATCATGCACAAGGCCAGCACAGGAATCCTCAAGACAGTATGATCAATGTTAATTGTCCAGTTTTTAATTTAGAGACACTAGCTAATGACTGAGCCTAGGGCAACATATGGATCATACAAAAGATTGCTTTTGCCCAGGAGACATCATTACGTGCTATTTAAGAGAGAGAGGAGGGGAGCAGAGAAGAGTTTAAAATGTCTGTGTCTTTTATTAGGAGACCATCAACTAAAAGTTCAGACAGCAGTGAGCCCAGTGAAACAGGTGATGAGAAGAAGAAAAGGGACTCAAGGAAGAGCGGCTTCCTTAACTTAATCAAATCAAGAGGCTCCAAATCTGAACGTCCCCAGACTGTGTCGGTGGCAGAAGAGCCCTCCTCACCCAAGGTTGCTGCAAAAAGTCCAGCTGTGGACACAAGCAAGAAGGAGGTAAAGCCTGCAGAGCAGAATGGTGGTACAGAGCGATCCGAGGAATTAAAGACACCAGACTCGCTGGAGGAGGCACAGCCAGACGATGCTGCAAAAGCTGAGAGGGGTGACAGCAAAGGAAGCCCACAAGGAGGCCGGAGGTATGGCGTGCAGGTGATGGGCAGTGGACTTCTCGCGGAAATGAAAGCCAAGCAGGAGAAGAGAGCAGCCTCTGCTCAGAAGGTGAAGGCAATTTGATTTCTCTTGAGGTGTTGAAAAAACAAGCAAGAGCTAGGTGTCTTCAGGGGAGGTGGGTTGGGTTTACAGGCGTTGGTGGCTGGGGCTGGATACATCAGTCCTGCTTTCCACCAGGGATTATGGTGTTCTTGCAAGAGGATTGCTCTCTGCTGTGGTGGTTGAACATGAATACCCTGGCCAAAAACTACCCTGCACACGTGGAGCAGGAGATGCACCCTTAAGCCTGCACTTTCTCTCCTCTTGTGGAGGAGGTAACATGAGCTCTTGCACTTGATGTCAGGCCATCACAAGCACGAAAGAGGGCACCTCATTGTTTGCATGTATTACAGAGCAATTTTGGGGCAATTAATAAGCACAGTTTGGATGTCTCCACTCTATACGGCGTGTGGTTTGTTCATGTGTAATGGAAGTGTGCTTTACAAAACATAAAGCTAGGACAGATTTCTTACTGTGTGCCCCCTGCACACCAGTACCTCAAGTGTTTGGCAGAGTTAACTACAGTTGTAGCTACCTGTACTCTTCTCTTTTGGAAGGTGATGTAGAAACGTGGAGAGGTGTACTGTATTTTAAGTTACATATTCCATACAGAGAAGCAAATCTGGCTTTCAGACACTGTTTACAGCTATTCATCTTATGCTTTTTTTGTTGCAATTTATGTCCTTTTGTACCACACCTAATTATTGTTATGCCTTTGATTTCTGTATTTCAAATACTGACACTCAAAGAAAATAAGCATACGTTAAATAATCTGTTCCCAATTATCTGTCTGAATTCCCTTCACTCTCTCTAATTTTCTCCTCTGAAGTGCTGTTGCTGGGCAGGAACTCTGCTTTGCTTCACAAACGTGTGGAGTGGAATATCCTTGTGTTGCTCCAAAGCATTTTGTGCTGACCTATTTTGCCCGATGCCCATTTCCCATTGAACTTCCCCATTATTATGAACTTCCCCTGCTTCCTCCCAGCTGCAGTACGCATGTTCTAAAATTACCAGAGGATCAGCCTTTTTTCACTCCTCTCTTCCTCTTTGATGTGCAGGTTACTCAGATGCTATCCATTCCCCACCATTATCCCCCTTAATTTGGAAGGTGTTACCTTACAACAAAGCGCATCTGCAAGTCTTGCTGTCTTTTCCTTCCTTTAAGACAATGTAGAATTGTCTTGCTGTGACCGAGGCACCTAAAGTTCATTTTTAACCTTTCTTCATAGCCTTATAGTGCTTGCCATGATGTCTGAGCCAGTCCTGCAGACACTGGGGTCTTGTAATAAGCAGATTCAAATTAACGCAGTCATCTATGGCTCATTAAAGGGATCCTCAGCATAAAAACAATTTTTCTAAAGAAATGGCCAATTCCCACCTTTCTCATTGGTGCTGAGTAATGCCCATGAGTCATGCCATTGATTTCTAAAACACTAAGTTTTCAAGTAAAATGTCCTATGATTTAAAATAAGAGTGTTATTGCTCTGCCTATAACTTAGAAAATACCAAGGTACTCCAGATTCTATATATTTTTACAACTGCATTAATCGTGTGTGCTTGGTCCTCTTCGAGTTCTTAATGCTTGTCATTTGGGATTAGTCAGATCTGGAACAATGTGACTGAGGTAGAATATTAGCATGTGTGATTTGTTTTTTTTTTTTTTTTTTTTTTTAAGTGAGGAGAGTAAAAGTGCTCTTCGACTAGTGAGCTTTCGTAGCATTGGTTGAGAGCTTGAATTTCATATATCAAAAAGAAAAGTTATTGTCTTTTCCCAGTATTTTTTTTTCTACCCTTCACTTTTTTACTGTTTGGAAAGGTTAAGCCTCTTCTTTCAGGTTTAGTTTTCAAGAATATAGTGTTATCGATCTTATTCTTTTGTTAGGGATACTTATGGAATGCAAAAGTAGGTCTTTTTTTCTCTCTTTTTTTTTTTTTTTTTTTAAAGAGTGACAAGAAAGCTGGATTGAAATAGGAATCTGTACACAACAGGGCACTGAGTTATGCATTCTTAATGTTGTCCAGATCACACAAAATTGAACTGCTGTTCAAAAGAATTTTTCACATACTTAATCCTAGATCACAATATTGAATAATTTAGTTTTGCACTTTTATTCATTATATTCATGAAAGTGAAAATCATACAGTATCCTGATGATGGTGAGCTACAGAAGACAGTATCCCACTGCCGTTACATTGGTTGTAACTTCCCTAACATCTTCAATTTTATCAGAATTCCAGTAAGAGAGAATATTGTCTTTTCCTTTAAGATACAGATGGCTGCTTGTATTCTGAGCTACTTTACGTGAAAACGAAGCCAGAAGGAATTTACTATTTCATTCATACCCTACCACAGTCTTGTTACAGATACAAGTGATGAGCAGGTGCACAGTAGATGGAAAGATGGCAAATGCTTTTTTGTTTCCTTGTGCTTAGAATACAACGTGCGAATTGACATTAATGCCAGAGACGAGTATTTGCAAATTAGTGTTGCCTCTAGGCGTACATAAAAGGATCTTTTAGCTCCATCTAGTGTTTACAGGCTGGATTTTTTAATACCTCAAGCAAGACCTATGAGCAGACCAAGATCGTCTGTAACCTGTTTATTCCCTCTTGATGACTCCCAACTCTGCAGTGTTTCCCAAACTTGCATGAATTCCTATTAAAAGTAGAGCCTGGTCATTATTCACCTGTGTTTATCTGACATGATTGACAGCTCTTCAGAGTAAATTTGTGCAGCAAGTGTTTAGTGTTGTCTCAGGACTGTAAGCAGTTTGTAATGTCTGTACAGTAGGTAGCCAAACATGCTAACATCCTAATTGCATTTTTAATGAGTACACTAATAGATGCCAGCAGTGGCTTTTGTAATTCTTGCTGTACATGGTCATATTTCCCCAGTAGTCATATAACTAGGGAGGGAGGAAGGAGTTATAGAGAAATTAGTTTTCATATTGTCATACAGCTGTATTAAAAGTCATTTACCATAGCTAAATGTTATGCATATATCCTCAATATTTACATAGAAAAATTAGCATTTCAGTGAAAGTTTATGAGAATTCACATTCGATGAAGAAACTCTTGGTAAATTCAATTCTCAAAGGTTTTTTTTCCAAGGGATGGAAGAAAAATCCAGTAAGTGGAGAGTGGTGTTTTCTTCAAGACTATATAGCCAAGATAGTCTTACAAAGAAACATGTGGCTCTAGGAGGTGGAGAGATGAGAATTCAGCCAAAACATCAATGAGAGCCAAGAAATGAGAACGAAAAACTGAGTTTTCACTCAGTGGTACAAAGCTTAATGTTCCTGCTAGCTTTGGAGGAGACTTTGCTTTGTCCGTGTGGGCACCGTAGCTTACCATTATGGTCCTACAAGTCATTGCATTTCTAGAGTGCTTCTGACCAGAAGACTTCATTGTTTGGCTTACACGTGCTTTTTAACATACAGATGATATTATACTTAAAACCTGTAGAAATATAATCCCTTAGAGTGGATAGTTGCATCTATATCAAAGTAGTTTTACAGTACAGGAAGTTTAATGACAATTATAATAGCATCCTCTTTTATGCAGTGTGCCATTTTGGGTGCACACCTGTACTTAGTGTAGAGGTCAGGAGGAAGCATTACCGTGCTAGGTCTTATACAGGACTGGCAGGCACTCAGCATCTCCATACTTTTCTTTGTTGTATTAAAGAGAGGCTTTGTTTTAGGAGCTGTGAGATTCCATGAGCAAAGAGGAGGTATTTGTAAATCCGTATGGCAAACCACACTGTTTTCTGCATCGCTCCTCAAAATCTGCTTCTCCTGAAGTGCCTGCGTTGAATTACCAGCACAGGGGAAAGGCACGTGGCCAACATGAATATTTAGAGATCATTCCTTTATGTTTATATTTAAAATACTATTTTCACTCTAAATCTGTACATTTTTCCATAATTGGTATGTGCTCCTACTACTTACAACCATTCTCTTCCTATATTTCCTGTTGCCCAATTTTTATCTGCATGCTATACGTAGGAGTCTTTTAGATTGCAAACTCCAAAGGGCAGTGATCATGTTTGACATGGGCTGCATGCCATGTGGTGGAAGTTTCTGGACACTATGGGACAGTCAGATCCCAGCACGAGTCATGCAGAGTTGGTGTTGGAGTAGTAGTAGCAGTGTCCTGAACGTGTCAACATGACTTACGCATGGGTACATAACCAAATGCAGTGATCATCAGCACAGATCGTTTGCTGTAAGTCATTTACCACACTAACTGTCTTGAAATAGTAAATCAAGATGAAAATCGAAGCTGCCCTCAAAAATCTATCCCCACTTTTTTAGTTTCAAAAAAAAAAAAAAATCTCACTTTTTTGCCCACTCTTTATAAGGCTTTCTGCCATAGTATATCCTACACTTACTTCTATGCACTTTTTGTATCCTCCCATTTATCCCTCTGCTTAAGCTCTGGTAGCAGATAAGACAGCAAAAGGAGGCTGGTTCTTTTACAAGCACATTGGCTCTGTATCTAAACTTCCTCTGGTGAATACACAGGTTTCAAGCTCACTTAGGCTACAGCTGTGATATCACAGAAGTCTTTGCACCTTTTTTTTTGAGGCCAAGTTGTTAAGAAAGCTATTCTGGAGAATAGAAGACTTGGTAAAATATCAGCACATAAACAAGAGACTCCCTTTCTTTAGAGGTGCTAAACATCCAGCACCCCCTGTGCTGGGTAGCTTTAACCACCTTTCAAGAAGTAAGGTCTATTTGTTTTTAAATAAATTCTGTGAATATGCGGGCACTACTGCTCCTGTAGTTGTAAGTTTGTCTAAAATGAAAAGTTATTCTTGTATGTGGAAGAGCATACAATCCTTTAGCAGTCGTATATTTAAAACATAGATTTTCGGAAAAAGACTTTATTTTAAACCTAAACAAAGAATTTTAAAATAGGGAGCTATCTTAGGAGAAAAGACTAGCACAGTTTTAACTCCTGTACATGAGCAGACTTGTCACTTAGGAGGCAGGATGTCGTTGCAGCTTTGCTAGACATGTGGCAGTATTAGTTATCAAATCAGTGTCACTTTCTTCCTACGTAGATCTCCAAGGCCTGAAAGAGAAACAAGGAGAGAGAATATACCATTTATTGCTATCATTGCTTTCTTTGCCTTATGACTTCCAAATTAGAGTTTTTTTACTAACAGAACCACTCAGCTGTATTAATTACAGATATATTATTAATATGAGAGCTTTTCTCACTCTTTCAGAAACTTGGGAATGACACAACTCCCAGAGAGTCTTTTGACACGGCGACAAGCTCAGAACGACTGGATGGAAGTGGTACAGGTACATTTTGGTTTTCCTGGTACAAAGTCTTTCTGGAAAATGCAAAATGCCTAACCTCAAAATCTCACTTCTCTCTCCTGATTGTGTGCCTGCAGTTTCTTAAGCAAAATGTGACCTTACACTAAGTGGAAAGGATTAGAAACAGAGCTCACTCTTTGTACTGTGTTTGACAGCACTTTTCATTAAGTCAGCTCTAGGACTGAGTTGACAGCTCAGCTTTTACTCTTGTGCTTCACGTTGCACTGGAGGGAAAGTACTCAGTGCATGTGCCCGAGGTGCCTTCGAAAGGGTACTGGCCTGTAATGGGATCAGCAAAGCTGAAGCTGAACCCAGGAACCAGCAAAAATGTCTGTGCAAGAAGTGAAACTCCTAAATATGCCCGATGACCTAAACATGACCAATTTGTAAGGTTTATAGTAGTCAGTGCGGGAACCAGCTTGAGTAGTCCTAGCCCTTAACTGTTAGAATACACACCTCATAGGCAATGGTGACTGGCTCTTCCTAGGGTTTAGCTGACTTAGCCAAAGCCAGGGCCCTCTGCAAAGCCGTGGAGGTCCCCAGACACTACACGCATGCGCAAAATGACTCCCCCTCATGTATGAAGTCTGGCCTTGCAGTGCTTACAGCACTGATTCTTTCCGCAGCTAGTCCTGCTGAGCACCAGCCAAGGGGCCCTTGTCAAACTGTAGTCCTGGGCCCTGCTACAATGCCACCCTTTTAAGTACAAGATGAAATTCTGGTCTCTGTGCACACATGCAAACTTTGGGGACTGGTTGGTGAAGTGTTCAAAAGGGATTCAGCTCTGGTGGTTTGTGCGCACTACATTCACTGGACCAAAGGAGTGGGCTGAACTAGGAAATCCAGGTCTGATTTCTCAACAGTGGTGCTAGGTATGCTGCAAGCACTACACGTAGGGTTGCCACAGCATATAGAAAGAAGGTTGAAAAAGCAGGCTGAAGTCTAAATCCAAATGTGGCCATCTTGGTTGATCGCTTAAGAAATGGATTTTGAGGCTTTATACCTTTCTAGAGCTAGTTCTAAAAGACAGCATATTCAGAGCTGCTGAACACTATAATCAGCGCTTTTAAAGCCTGCTTATCTTTTGAGGAGGACTTTGTGTACTGTATGTGTCTCCTGATTTCTTCAAACTGAAGTCAGAGAGGCAAGAATAGTCTGTGCTCAGGGCATTAGAGTAGCTGGGGGTGTCTGACCCCAATTTTTCTCTGGTCCTTGTCTCTACAGATGACACATTTCACCTCCACCTCACTGCACTGTGCATGCCCCTTCCTTTTGGCCCCCAGCTGTCAGTTATTTTTTTTCCACTCTTTCTTGAGAGCTCTTTGAGGCTGCCTTTCACTATTGCGACTACGGTTTGTCTTTGTTTTGGGTTAATTTATTTTAACTTGCTGAGTTCTGATAATATTAGCAGGCCCGAGGTTAGGAAGGCAAGAAAGAGAGCTAATGGAAAATTGATGCTGAAGGAGAATAAGGGTTTTTTAATTCCTTGATGCATGTCTGAATATTGTCTGCTTTTTTGTATGTACACACACACAAGCGGAGATGGTGTCCTGCTGTTTTGCTTGCAGCGTGAAGGTCTATATTGCATGCAGGTGGACACAAAGTGTCCTTGTCACGCTCTCACACAAATACATATGTGCCACATAACTCTCTGTGGTTTGCCAGAGTTTAACTCCAGCTGGGCTGAAAAACAGCTTCATAAGCTGGAAAACCCTATTGGAGACTGGCTTGCAGCAAACTATATCAACGCTCCCCTCCCTCCCACTGCCATTAAAATGTCCGCGCTCAGCACTTTGTAACAAGTAGGATTTCTGAATGGGAATAGCAGGTAGGTAGGTCAAGTCAGCATCTGTGAGCACATAGCTGGCTTTGCCAGGTACCAAATCTGCATTTCAGTTATTCTCAGAAGAGATTTACAGAGTAGGATGTGACGGTTGTTGAAGATCCCAAACTAGCATACAGGTTCCAAGATTATCATTATATCTGCTTCATAAAAGCCTTTGACCTTCTCAAAGCTTCAAAGAAGGAAATTCTGCTATTTCCTGCTATTTGCAGACATTTTGCTTGTTTGCAACCTTGTGTCCAGCAGGCTTTCTACCAACTTGCACAGCTAGGTAGGGCTGATTTATTACTTGGAAGTCAGTGTAGCTTTATCTGTAAATATCTTGGTCTTTGTCTGGGATATATAATATGTTGATAAACCCACTTATTGTGTGGAATCCATAATCTGTATACTGTGTTGCTAGATAAATCAAAATATTATATAAAGAATACTTTGATCTTGGCTAAGCTTCGAAATCTCCTCTAGAGCTTGCTAAGAGCAACAAATAACAAGATGTAGCCTGCTGATCACACGTTTGGGATTTATTTTCTGGGCCAGGATTTTTCTGTTGATCTTGGATAGCCAACCTTTTGTCTGTAGAGGCACAAAACCGCCAAAAGCTGCCTTTTCCACTGATTCATCACTACTTTCTCAGCAGGTAGGCGGTACCATCTGCTCCCAGAAATATGGAGGGAATATGAGGTCCAGCCAGCCATCACCCCAAATATATTAAAAAGGGGGAGATGCCATCGCCTCTGAGGCAATTGAATTATGAAGTTTAGCACATGCAAGATTCAGGTGCTTTTCTTGCAGTGATTTTGAGTAGAATATTAGATATCCTCTTACATGCTCACTCTGCAATGCAGCAGTGATATGTGAGCTAATGATGATATTTTCCACACAAGCATACCTGTGCAGTCTTCTCTGTTGCAGGAGACTTTATTTTACGTGTCTATTTGTTTTAGTGCCTAAACTCCAGCAGACCCTTCCAGAGAGTCGGTTTGCCTCAAGTAAAGGTGATTCCATCTCAGCATCATCAGAAAAAAATTCAAAAGCTGAACCAAAGGCAGAAGCTGGTGCAAAGGCAAGAAGCTCTTCCAATACACCGACCAGCCCAAAACCCCCACTGCAGTCAACAAAGCCCAGCCTGGCAGGACGACCCACAGTGCCGCAGAAACCGCGCTCTGCCTCTCGTACTGGTGAGGAGCTGTTCTGGGTGTATGTTATCCCCAGCTGGTTACTTCTGAGTGGTATTTCTGTGGGCTATGGAGGAGACACGCATGGCCACATCCTCAACAGAAGTTAAATGTAGAGGGACACATTCTTCAGTCACTTGCTCTTGACTTGCATCCTTCTTTTTCACCTCCCTCTTCCCTAAGTCAAATAAACTTATTAAAATGGTTTAATCTGTGACCTGCAATAGTAAAGTCTGAGGAGAAGCAATAGCAGCAGCAGCAGAGCTGTTTGGAGCTAGCCTGCTTTCACAGAAGAGGAGAGCATAGAGAGATACTTCAGCATCAAAGCCCTGTTATAGTAGCACCGACAAAAATAACTGTATTTTCTCTAAACACCTGGTTCTAAATACTAAAGTCCTTGGAGCTTTCTGGCAGGCTACTTTTAGCCCCTCGAACAAATGCCTGTTACTCTTAATAACTTGCACAAACTGATTGTCTCTTGCTCTCCTTTTTCTTGTTTTACCTTTGTTTCATTCCTTATTGCTTTTGACTGGAAATAATTGTAACTGTGCTTTTATAACCCTGCAAGACCACCAGTTGAATGACTTAACTTCTGCTCTGTCCTAACCTCCTGCCCAGATATTACCTCAAGGTTTCCAATAGTGGGAAATACTTCACCAGATCTCCTGTACATTTGTCTGTCTGCTGTTGAACAGGCCAATGTCACAACCCCCCCTCTTCCCAAAGTACAGCCACTGCAGCTGAGGGGAATTAGATGCTAGTTGCTGACTCCCCCAGTAGCTATGGTAAATACGTCTTATTAATTTTTAATGACTGAAAAATGTGAGCATAGACATCTGTAAGAGCTCATAGACCTCTAGGCTATTCCCATACTCACTGTTGACCTTACAAAGATGTCATTTCTGATGAGGACGAGGGGACAGGGGGATATTATAGCCTCTTCCCTGCCCTTGATGTGTATGTGAGTGTTACTTAGTCTCTGCACTCAAGAATGTTTTTCAAGTACAAAATCACCTTCAGGTTTTAGATGGCTTTAATTTTATTTTATTGGCCATTTTAGAAATGGTCATAAAAGTGAGAGGTGCAGGGTAAGATGCTCAGGAAGATATATACAATAGGAAAGCATGACTTATTTGGTGATGCTTAATCTGTAAAATAGGCAGTGTGCTATCTCAAAATCTTAGGTATCAGAAAGACCCGAGCTATCTGTTTCTGCCAGCTCCTGTTTCCTGCAGAGAGAGCATACTGTGGGTTTAACACAAAGAATAATTAATATTTACTCATAATAAGCCAGCTCCTCAGGTGGCAGCAAGAGCAGCACCATCTCTGTTGCAGTCTAACTTCTGTCCTAGTACTTGTAGCAACCTGCTGGCTCAGCACACCCAGGCGACGCGATGAAGAAGCCAAGCAATAATCCTATTTATGCTCCTGCCATTGTTTCCAGCAGTGTGGCCAAACTAACGGTAGCAAATTTTTCCTAAGTAATCTGAGTGCAAAGGAGCACAGCTCGAATGTCCACAAATTATCAAGGACTGAAAGTGGTTCCTCAGTAAAGCACATAACAACTTTAGTTCAGAAATATGTAGCTGCATTTGCCAAGCACTATGCTCATCCATATGTTGACATCAAGCTTCCCAAAGCAACTGGCCTGACAGGCACATCAAAAGTGTGGAGAAGGTCTGAGAAATGATGTATCTGTTCAGATCAAGTTGCATTTGGAAGGTCGTCACTTTCATTTGCTGAAAGTAAAAGGATTGACTCCCTTTGTGGTGACTTCACAACAGTGAGGTAAATTCCTATTAATTTCCAGTATGCAACTGAATTAACTCATTGTACAAATATGCCATACAGGTGATACTCTGCGTTCCTTTTTCCTTCTATCAATACTAATGTGTCTTCCTAGTTCCTCTGTTGCGTACATATGCCTCTGTTTACTCCTAGGGAAGCAAACATACGAGCAGTTTAAGTAATCCATTGTAGCTGTACTTCCCTGCTGTCCAAACAAAGGCTGTCTGTGTAGGACTGAAAAGGTCTTCCTGTAAGGACTGTAAAGATGATAGTCAACTTGCCATATGTAACGCATGTCCAGCCTTTTAGAGAAACAAGATATCCAAATCGTTTAAACTATGGATTTGAATTTAAATTCCAGATTTCCTCACGGTCTAGAGGACAAAGTATTTTTTCTGTTCAGAAAACCTTTGCAGATGCTATCATGTTATCTACTGGTAATTTATTCCTGGAAGTACAGAGTTCTGTAGGCTATTTGTGAAAATTGTTTCACTGGTTCACTTTTATGCCTTATAACTCTGAAACAGGACATCTAAATTGATCAGTTCATTATGTTTCAGGACAATAAAAGTAGAAAGAGAACAACTATTTCCAAAAATCCATCCAAAATAATTTTCAGCTGTTCTTTACAAATTGCATACTTATGTCTTGCAGGAAATTCAGGCAGTCCCATCAGATTTATATTTGTGCTACAATAGCAGTACACATTAAAAATGCTGAAATTGAGATCTTTGCTTTGGCTATTAAAATTCTTTCACCTGGACTGAGGGCCATCATGTGTTCTCTTGACATAATGTAAATTCCTGAGTCCTCCTTTTTCTGACACAGATTCTGGCGGTTTCTTGTTTGTGTATTGTGTTGAGGTTTGACCCATGATAGCAGCACCATTTCTGTGACCTACAGCACTAATATAACTTCTCACCTTTTTGCTCATGGTACTCCGTAGAGGATGCTCCAGAGTCTCCCTCCGGCCCCAGTTCCCCAAAAGTTGCCCTGCTTCCACCTGTGCTGAAGAAAGTTCCTTCTGATAAAGAAAAGGATGGTCAGAGCAGCCCCACAGTCAGATCATTTTCTCAAGAAGGTAGGAGTGTTGATGTAACTGTTGTTCCTGTGTGCTTGTCTTCTACTAGAATTTGATGTATCATTGTCCTCCAATTTGTTTTCGCTTGGAAGGGAAGAGGGTTATTCATTCGGAGGAAAAAAGAACAAGGAAAGTGTATCTGGTCATCTGTTGCCCATCTCCTCCACCCATGGGTTGATGCTCTGTATTTTCTTCCTTTGATTAAGCCAAGAAACCTGGTGTAGTGGAGGGTTTCCCTGCCCATGGCAGAGGGGTTGGAACTAGATGATCTTTGAGGTCCCTTCCAACCCTAACCATTCTATGATTCTATGAATCCCTTGGTATTAATAATGTAGCTGAACAACTAAGGGACTCTTGTGTTATGTGTATTATGGTTTAGTTTGGTCTGAATCGAGATGCTGATTGATATTGGTCA